AAATGAGGTGGCGTGTCAAACACAAAATCTCCCCCAGCCGCAGATGGTGGGGGGGGAATTCTGGGAGTTGAAGTCCACACATCCTGAGGCTGTCAAGGTTGAGAAACACTGCTCTATATTCTCTATCTCCTCTTAGTATCTCCCCTTTCTCCTCATCTAGCAAGAGGTACTTAAAATCATTTAGAAATGGAAGCAGAAATTTATCATGCTTAAATACTAATCAATCACCTTTTAACTCAGAAAAAGCTTCTAATCCTTTTGGGTGGAAAAGACTTTTTGGCTGCAGTCTGACTTTTTCAGTTTTATCCCACTGCGGTAATATTTGGCCATTTGGGGAAAGAAGGTAGGAGGGATTTAGATCTGCTGGTTATTACTGTGTCAGCAGCAAGGCGTTGAGTAAAGACATCCTGCAGCTGAAAAAAAAGCACCATTTCAGCTTGGTGAAAGCATGAAAGAAGCCTTGCTGCTATTAAAACTCAGGCATACTTACTCCAGACATACACATGAGGGTCTGCAAACATCCTTCCTTGTTGGTGAACACGTTGAATGCTTCCCATCCTCTGATTAACACTTGTAAAATTGCCAGTATTGTCCAAAAGTGAAAGTCAGAGAAGAAGTAAAATCCCTGCTGATTGAAACTATCCTATTTAAGCCCAAAAGGAAAGATAGGTTTATTTTATTCATTTAACACATTTATATGGACAGACAACATAACTGGGCAGCATACAAGAAAACATTTTAAAAATTACAAAAGGAAAATAACACCATTAAAACCAAGTAAAACCATTAAATGGCAATTAGAATTAAAACACACCGTATCTCGCCAATTGGGAACGCTTAACTGCCTTTCTGGAGGATCAGAGCCAGTTGTATATTGGTGAGGAGGTAGTTCCAAAAAGCAGGGGCTGCCACTGAGAAAACATGCCTCCTGGGTCCCCCGAGTTCATGCTATTGAGCATGTGAGTGATACACATATTTATTTAACAATCCACCTTTAGACAGCGTTCATATCTGTCCCACCATCAGCATAACAGCATCTGTATATCAGTTTCCTAAGGTCCCAAATCAAAGTATGCATTACTTCTGTGTGCAAGAAGTAAACACCCTTGACTGAAAGATATAAGGAAATTCCATTACACAGAAAACCCTCAGTCTCTTCCAATAATTTGCTGCCCTTATACAATGGAATTTCTTTGCTGTTGCTTTAGAGGAGCACAAAAAAAACCCTTTTCAGAATCCAGCTACTGGGTCAGCTTTCCCATCCCGATCAACCCTACTCGGTGTCCTTGACTGCAGGGAGAAAGGCCAGGCTGCTGATTTTGGACAGGGCACATGCAGGTTTCAGAGCTGAATTTCTCTTGGTGTATCGGGGCTCGGGTGGGTGGGTGGGGAGAGGGGCTTGAGACCCTTGCCAATTTTCCAGCTGAGTTGATGGGACGGTTGAATACAAAAGATTTGCTTTTGTATGTATGTAAGTATGGTTAAAAATAATCTAATCACATGATTGATTTTCCCTCATATGGGACAATGGGTCAATATACAATTTTTATTGTTAAATAGTTTCTTTGAAACACGAGTAAAAGCGCTCCCAGGGATATGTTTATGTAACAGTCCAGCTGGGACTTTTACATATATCCACTGTAATTCCAGCCAAGGCTTGAATTCCAAAGGAGATGGATGGATGGATGGATGGATAGGAGAGAGAGAGAGAGGGATGATACAGATGATAGATAGATAGATAGATAGATAGATAGATAGATAGATAGATAGATAGATAGATAGATAGATGAATGCCGTTCTGGAAATTGCTGGTGACATAGCTCATGTCTTGCATAATCTGTTTCTGAGAGGTAAGAAGGGCTTCATTTTGTTCATTCATTCAGAAAATGTCAGCCTTGGTGAAATAGATTAAGCTCAGATCTAAACCATGATGTTGGCAAAATGGGAGGAAGCAATTTGCTTTTGAAATTGGGCTTGATGGCGAGGAAAGAGGCAAAATGGATGGTTTCGTCAAACTGCTGGCCTCTATTAGTTCAATCAGACTTCCAAGGCTGATTTTATTGACAACCCACATTTCTGCTCCACTAAACCTGCTGGCCTGGATAAACAAGCAGGGAAGACCAGCTCAGCAGCAGACAGGCAGAGCTCAGCTGAGCCCGTTGCTCAAGATGAATGCTTCGGCCATCCGGCAAAAGCTGGGCAAGAAAGAGCAGGCGGCGGCATTCAACCCAACCCGCTGGTCCGAGGAGAATGGTGGCAGTGGAGTTCCAGCTGGGAAGCTCCAAGTCCTGGAAAAGTTCTTCACGCCGGTCCAACAGGCCAAGGAAAGGAAAGAGAGGATGTATTGGCCCCTGCAGGTGGAGAGCTTCGATGACCACTTGTCTACTCACTCCTCAAGCTCTTCCACATCCCCTTCCTTGGCACTGTGGCCTTCAGAAGCCAGGCTTGAAAAGGAAGCTTTTCTAATGGTCACTTCAGAGGACCATTCTCCCCCAACCCAGTCTCACAGGGAAATTACTATGAGAGGCCACAGTATGGGTGCTGGCCATTTCTCCCTTCCTCAGGACCACCAGGAGCTCCAGCCACAGATGGGCCAACCTGAAGGCATAGACCAGAATTTCTACAAGGCCACTAGCCTGGAGCACAGCCCTGTCTTCAGTGAAGAGGCTGAAATTCCAGCTATGCAGCAGCACCCCCAGACTGGCCTGCCTGCTCTTGGCAGGGTTATCTTGAGAAATGGGGTGGTGGAGGAGGACGGCCAGCTGTGGAAGACCACATCCAATGAGACCATCACTGAACGGTCAACAGGAGCAAAGGCTCTGTTGACTCCCAGACCCAGAAGATGCCAGCAGCAGGAGAAGCACCCCTCTCCTAAAGGCCTGGATCTGAGTCTCCCCAGGAGGTCACTTGCCCCAGGAGAAGCAAGGCTGATAGAGGAGAAGCTGCGCTTTTCAGAGTTCCTCAACGAAGTCACCCAACAAGTCATGAGTCCTTCCAGTCTCATGTCACTGGGCTGGAAGCCTGAGGTATCTTCTCTGACCAACAGAGCCCCCAGCTCTGTTGGGTCAAATTCCAAGTCTATTTCATCCGAGTCACTGCTGGAAAAAAATGAGGGCAAAATGTCCTTGCACAGGAGGAGAAGAATCAGACAGTTTGAAGCCAAAGGAGACACCACCCCCATCCGCCCCAGCCAGCCCCAGGCTAATCCCAACCCTGCCAGGACTCCAGATGAGACCAGCAGCAGTTCTGAATCGGGCCTCTTGACTCATTTTCTGGCCAACCTGAGTTTGCCTGAGCTGTCAGAAGAGGCTCGTGGAGCAAGGAGGAACAGTGAGGCAGAAGCAGAGCATGCTCTGGAGGCCAAGGCTCAAGAACGGTCCTTCAAGAAAGCAGAGGAGATGGTGCCCCGAGGAGCAGAGAAATCAAATGGCAAAGAATGGCCAGGGCTTGTGGCCAGAAAGAGTGGGATGCTCTGTAAGGTACAAGGCTTTTTGCAAAAACAGAGACTCTCTGGCCATATTCTGAACATCCCGAAGGAGAAGACCTGTGCTGTCTGTCTTTGCAGGGACTCCTGTCTCCTTTATTAACATAATAGTCAGCATGGTGAATTTGCCCCCCCCCCAAAACTGCAGCCAAATTTCTGCAGCGAGCCAATTGGCTGTCTAATTCAAAAGCCAAAGAATGAAGTTGGAGTGCTCAGAGACCAACCCACAGGTTTAGGGTGCTCACCTCTAGGTGGGAGAAAGGGGGCTCCCTCTACCAGGGAGCAAGGGGGACACTCTCAGTTGGAATCAGCTGCTCCTCCCAGTCCCTGAGAGAGCTAGCAGGAAGGAATGTTTATTTGTGTTTTTAATTATTGTGTCTTTATTTTGTTTTAATTGTTAGCCGCCCACAGTCATGTATATGAGACGGGGAGGCAAATAAATTTAATTAATTAATTAATTAATCCTGGTGCATCACAAGCATCATTTTCTCCTTTGCATGTTCCAAATCTCTTGATGTTATAGCTTTCAGTCCTGCGAGCTCTCTCTCTCTCTCTCATCTATCTATC